AGTGTAAGGGCACCGCGAGGAGGTATGACCGTCCAAGCGGCAGCGCAAACACCCACGTCGGCCCAGAATAGCCGCGCGCTCCTCAGCGGAAAGGACACCGCGAGGAGGGACGAAGCCCTGAGGGAGGTCCTCCTGAGGGACCTCAGGGGGCGACGAACCAGCGTGACCGGGGCGGCTGCGAGCCCGAGAGAGGGCAGAGAGCGTGAGCTGAAGGCGCTCAGCTGCAGGGAGGGTAGAGTCCTCCAAGTGATAGTGGACGGCCTCGCAAAGATCGAGGTCGTCGCTGTGGTCGCCCTCAGGTGACAGTGGGGCAACAACGTCCTGCTCACCATACTCCAGCGCGCTGAAGCGGCGCGAGAAGTGGCGGCCCTGCTGCGTGGAACGGCGGGGGCGACCGCGAAAAGGGAAACGTTGTTGGGATGTGTCGTGAGAGGAGGAGGAGGCGTAGCCTGTGTGCTGGGGCTGGGAGGAGGAGGCGGGATGAAGACGGGCTCGCATCCGCTGGTGGTCCCTGGCGGCCTCGTAAGCCTGTGGGGCCGATGTGAACTCGTACCGCCATAGCTCGGAGCGGTACTCGAGCGGAAGGCTGACCAAGAAACGATCGATAAGGGCATCCTCGGGGAGGAATGCCACGTCGCAAACGAGGCGGGCGTCCCGAAAGACCTGGATGTGGCGATCCAGGCTGGCAGCGCCACTAGAGCCGGACCAGCGCGTAGTGACGACACGCTCGAAGGCGTCAATCACGTCGTATCGGGCTCCGAAGCGATCCTCGAGGAATGCTTGGAAATCCACGAAGGTCGGAGTCCGACCCTCACGAAGGGAGTAGGCATAGAAATCCTCCCAGGCCTCGAAAGGACCGCCACGCAGGCGCGTGGAGAGGTGACCCACCCACGTCTCGGGTGTGGCACCCATGAGCTGGAGTGTGCGGGTGGCAGACTGCAGCCACCGAGACACGCGTATGCCTGTACCATCATACAAGGCGATGTCCGACAAGCGGATGAGTGGTGCGCCACTGTTTTGGCGGCGAGGGGATCGAGGAGCGGAGGCCTGTGCCACGGCTGAGTAAGTCGGCGCAGGTCCTGGAGAAAGGGGCGAAGCCGACTGTGCGCCCGGGCCGCATGGGGGAGCGGCAGTGGCAACAGCGGCAGGTTGCGAGGGTGCTGCGGTAGAAGAGGTCGTAGCAACCGCGGGAGTAGGAAGAAGGTAGGAAGGAGTTGTATAGGGTGCAGGGCGCGGAAAGCGAGCCTGGAGGGGGTGGACGCACAAGCGGCGCGGGGCATCCCAGAGGGGGGAGAGCCAGGTGGCGCTGCGGTCGTGCGAAGGGGAGGGAGAAGCGGGGCACCCAGAAAAGCTGAGACCATGGTAGCGGGTTGTTGTACCGTGGCCGTAGTGACCGGGATCTGGGCGGGTGCGGCCGTAGATTGAGGGGGGGCCTGGCTCGTGGCGGCCGTCGTGCTAGGGGCGTGGACAGTCACCAAGATGGCCGGGTCAGGGGCAACGGAGGAGGAAGCTCCGCCTTGGCCACCCTGTCGGAGGACGGGGGACCCGGATTGGGAGCCAGGAGATGACGGACACGCAGCGTCCTGGAGTTGCTGCATGCCGGCGGCAAGGGTCGCCACCTGCGCCTGTAAGGGCGCAAGGGCCGCGAGTTGCGCCTGGATGGGCGCAAGGGTCGCGAGTTGCGCCTGGATGGGCGCAAGGAGGGAGGTGAGGAGGGTGTGTAGATCCCCCTGGGGCTGATGACCCTGGTCCGCCGGCACGGGTGTGGAGCCCGATGCCGTGGTCATCGCCGTGTCGGCGGCGTGTGACGCACCGTCGGCCAAGGGGAGATGACGGACCGGACTGTAGGGGGCCAGAAGAGGTCCGCGTGAGCGGAGGGCGTAAGGGGAAGTCCGCGGTAGAAAGCGGCGAACGGCGCTAGCAAGGCTAGCACGGGCGCCGTCAAAGGGGGAGGGGTGGTTCGGGTCCAGGGTGCCCGAAGAGGACGGGGAAGTAGGGGGGTTTTGAGGAATCCTAAACCCTACAAAAACCCTAAGGAAAACCCTAACTGAGGTTTAAGTGGTTAGGATAGGGTACCGGTGACCTAATCAAGAAAGTAAAAGAGCAAGCATAGGGAAGGGAAAGGCGGGAGAAAAATAAATAAGCAGCGAGATTTCGAGAGAAAATAAAAATAAATAAGGAAATAAATAAATAATAATAAAAATGATTAAAGAAATAAGTAAAGGATGGAAAGGGAAAACTTTTTTTTTTTTTAATTTTCGGCAGCATTTCCCTACCTTCCACGGGGTCAAAAATGTGCCAAGGGAAAAGGAGAGACCAAGGTGAGCACACTACAGATGCCGCAAATAATAATAAAAAATTTCAAGAAATAAATAAAAAATAAAAAATAAATAAATAAATAAATAAATAAATGTGTGAGGAGGTGGGGAGAAATGGGTTATCTGATTTTTCAAAAATTTT